CTGGGGGGGTTGACACAGGCGCTGCATCCCCCTCAGTAGCTTGCTGGGGGAGGGGATCTCACTGCAGTGCTGTAACAGGGCGCTTATGTCAGCCACAGATGGACTGGGGTGTTGACTCTGTAGTGCTGAGGGGACTGTGAGGTCCTCTCACAGAGCAGCATCCCCTTTTGCAGGAGGAGCAACGCAGTGGGGAACCAGGCCCCCGGAAGCTGACAGCCGCCACCCCGAGACACAGTGGGGCTCTCTCCAGTGCCCCTATTTCCGCCCGTTGGGTTATCCCTGGAGTTTTCTTGTTCTAGAACACGCTACCCCTGCTGTCCCAACACACAGCTACAGCCGGGGCACGGGGATTCGCTACCCACCAGGCGCAGGGACCTCCCGAGCAGCGAAGGAGACAGCGTCAGATTCAGCGAGCTCCTCCGGGCCCCGGCAGAAAGGCACCGGGGTCGGAGCCTGGCTCCATTGCTTGTCAGGAATAGAGAGGTGGGCCGATCCTCGCCTTGGGGGACAGGACACCAGGGCCAGCCCATAAGCAACAGAGGGTCCTGTGGCACCTTTAAGACTAACAGAAGTATTGGAGCATAAGCTTTCGTGGGTGAATGCCCACTTCATCAGACGCAAGCCAGCCCAAGCACCCATTGAAGTCCTCGAGTTCCAGCGTAAGCAACGCCAAGGCTTGGGGATGGCTCTCTGCGCGTGGGCCTGTCCCCCCACCCCACCCCAGAGATCACGTTTGCTTTCCATGTACAGAACGTGAAATCCTGGGGCCCCAGGCCCCTCACTCAGATCACTAGCAAAACCTCAGACATTGTTAGTGTCCTGCAATGGGGCGTGGGCAGAGAATAGTTGACACACGATTTCCTGTCAAGCCAGCCCCCCTCTCCTCTGTGATTCCTGATCCGCCGGCTCAGGCATAGGTTAAACAAGAGAGAGGCCTGACAGGTGATTTGATCTCCCCCCCCCCCCCCCCGACGCGCAGAGGATTGCTGCCTGTGGTATATTTGGTGGGGCTTTGTCTAGTCAGGTTTTGTAATGTGGTTATACAGAGAGGAAAACTGAGGCAAAGAGCAATCAAGTGACTTGCCCAAGGCCTCAGGGGGAGTCAGTAGCACAGTGGAGATTAGAGCCCAGCCACGCCAGGGTCCCAGCCAGCATGTTCACGCCACGGCACCAGAGCCCAGCGTGAGAAGGAAACTGCCTGTATCGTACATAAACCACGCAGCTAAGGACGTCGCACTCAGATGCTTTCACTTCCCAAGTCGCTGCCCTTGTTCCCGAAGCAGGAGCCGGGTGGTCTTCGCTGCACTTTGAAAGCCCAACACAAACAGAGCCACAGGCCCCCGTCCCCCGCAGCCGGAACCCGCCTCTACGTACCACTTTGGGGAGCACGGACGTAATGGCATCTTTGATGACTTCCCGGAGGCAGGCGACGTCGATCACGGAGCCCAGACTCAGTAAGGCATCCTGGGAAAGAAGAGAAAACCCATGTGTCAATGGAAAGGTCAGGCTTCTACCGTGTAACTGCCTGCGGCCGGCATGGCTTCGATCCCATGGGGATGGGCACGGCAGAGCCCCCCGAGACAGACAGCCCGTGAGCAGGAATTGCTAGGGGAGGGTCTCTGGCCGGTGCTAGGCAGGACAGACTCGATTATCACAATGGCCCCTTCTGACCTTAAAATCTATGAATCTAGAACCCAGGTAGCACACTGGGCCATGATTACATGCTTTCTAGTTCTACTGGTGGGGATTATAAAGCACAATATGAGGCTAACGCTCGTCCTTCTCCCCGACTGATCTCAGACCTCAATTCAGATTGAGGCTCTTAACCCTGGGGGGGGCGGGGGCGAGATGCCCTTTCTGGGGGTGTGAGACACGCCAGATTTTTTTAGAAGGTAAATCATCGAAAACACAGATGAAGCACAGGCACGTAAGTACAACTACTTTGTGTCATCAAACCTCTGTATTTATTACCATTATGCATTTCTTAACGATTACTGTAATATACAAACAAAAAATAGATCTAGGTTTAAGGGGTGCGAGAACATATTTTGAGAACCAAAGGGGTGCAGGCTGCAGTAAAGGTTAAGAACCACTGCTCTTGACCAACAGGGGGAAGACAGAATTTTCAGCGGAGCCAAACCTAGGCTGTGGAACGCATTGTCACAAGAGACAAAATCAGTTTGAGGACTCCCTGCGCTCAGAGCTAAAGACAAAACTCCCGAGGGAGGCAGTGTGGTCTAGTAGGTAGCGCACTGACTAGGGACTCAGAAGACCTGGGTTCTGTTCCTGACTTTACCACTGACCTGCCAGATGACGCTTGGGCAAGTCATTTTGCCTCTCCGTGCCTCAGTTTCCCCATCTGTAAAGTGAGGAGAATGGCACTGACGTCCTCTGTAAAGTGCTTTGAGATCTACAGATCAAAAGTGCTAGATAAGAGCTGGGTATTATTATGATTTCTTAGACCTTCAGTGAGTTCTTCTCTCTCTCACACACACACGTAAAACTCTGTCAACTAATCCAGCCATTTCTTCTACACGCTGAGAAAGCAGCGAGTGATTATTAGTGATATTATGTTTAAATACTTGCGAGAGGCTCAGCGCCGAGGTGACAGGAGCCGTGTCATTGTCTTGTTAGAACCGAAGCCCAGAACAGGGTCCAGTTCCACAGGCGGGTCTGTGGCCAGGGTCGCCTTAACCACAAGGCTCCCACCTGCCCTTCATTGGGATCCGGTTAAACCACCGAAAAGATTCCCATCAATTTCACTGTGCTCCGGCTCTCTCCCTGCCCCCGGGGTCTCCTCTTCCTCACACCTATCAAGGCTGGGCATGCACGGGCCAAGGCAGCTCCGCCCCCGGGGCCAGGCAGCAAGATGGGCATTTGTCAGTCACAATTTACTGCCTGATTCATCCCCGCGGCGTCCGTCCTCCACACTTGCAGGGCAGCCCCTGCCAGCTTCGTGCCGTCCCTCCTGACCTTCCAAAGGTCTCCCAGGCCAGGCCGCCCGCGCCACCTGCCTTTCTGGTTAGCATCTGGCGGCGATGCGGAGATGAGACACCCTGAGAGCTGCCCCGAAGCCCTCCTGGGGTCGGACGGGGGCGTGCCACAGCCTGGAATCTACCATGTGATTCCGGAGACGCTGGAGCAAGTGGATTCTCATTTATCTGGAAATACCCCCTCACCCAGGGTAACTCCTGTGACACCAGTGAAGTTGTCCCAGGGACGAACGTGGCCCACTCAGAACGTATTACCAAGCACGGTGCCTGCCTAGCCCAGAATGCAAAGAGCCAGTCTACCAGGCGGTTAGGAAACAGCCTAGATAACGGCCGATCCTAACCTGTACAGCGGAGCAAGCTGAGGCAATGTTATACGCACGGTACCTTTCATCCCAGGATCTCGCAGCACTGCATCAATGGGGAAACTGAGGCACAGAGCGGGGCGGCGACGCACCCGAGGCTGCACAGTGAATCGGTGTCAGAGCTGGGAGCTGAACGCAGGTCTCCTGAGCTAATCCCGCTTCTTGGGATTCTGGGGCACAGAAAGAACAGCCTCACAGCGGGGTCGAATTGCTTGGGTGCGCCCAGGAGCTGGGGAAAGTCCCTTCCCTCAGCTGCACTGGGGACCAGGCTGTCCGAGCAGCCAGCGTCTCGTCTTCACACGACACGTCCATGTGGCTTGTCTCAGCAGCAAGCCTGAGCCACCAGCTTCGGACCTGGATCCAAACGCCTGCTCTAAGCGTGGATCCAGGCCCACCTCTAACGGGAGAGCTACGCGGTCTCTCGAGGCCCCTTCCAGCCCTACGTTTCTACGACTCTAAGGGGCTGTCTCCTGCCATTCCCCAGCACCTGCTGTGCTCCCCCTGGGGCCAGAACCTCCTCTCCCACCAGTGTGGCTGCACCCCGCCAATGGGGCTACTCCTGATTTACCCCAGCGTCAGTGAGAGCAGGTTCCGATTCACAGTCTGGGACCGCCGGGTGGGAACCAACCAGAGCTGAAAGCGAACGGTACCAAAGTCCCCCAGGCCTCTGCCACGTCCAGTTCAATTTTAAAGCGATGGATCTCCCACCCCTCCCGCGGTGAGCTGGCGAGCTTGCTTGTGATCCACCTGTACTGACTGGAGACCTGCGTGACCCAATGGAGTTACTCCTGTTATAGGAAAGAGCTGGGGCAGGTCCTACACAGCACAGAGGCTAACAGACCCTCTGTGTAAGTCCCAGCCATGGGCTCTCCGTGCGACCTTGGGCAGCTCGCTCCGGCGCCGTGCCTCGGTTTCCCCATTCATAACATGGGGAGAATGATGCTGGCCCGCCTTTGGAAAGTGCTCGGGGCGCTATGGCTGGGAATTCTCCCGTCGGCTGCACACACATGCAAGGATTGTTACAAACACGCCGTGCATGTCCCCCAGCTCCCTCCCACCATGGACCCCCGATGCAGGCACCATGCACTCTGCACCCCCTGCTCCCCACACCCTCCAGGAGGCCGGCCAGCAGGGCGTCGGTTCCACACCTCCTCCCCCGATGCATTAGCCAGGACAGCTTAGCCAGCCAGCTAACCCCCTGCCCCCAGGGAGGTAGTGGGTCATAGTGGGGCGGCTGCTTCTTGGGGCCATTGCTGGAGCGCTAGAGCTCAGACCTGGGCCCAAAGGCTCAGGTGGCCCGAACACAAAACTGTAGCGATCTGTAACGCTCTCTATGGCGGGATCGGCGCAACGGGGCGGCGGCAGGCCGGATAATAACCCAGATCCACGCAGAGAAGGGCTGGGGAGACACTGTCGGAGGCCGCTCCCCTCCTGGAGCACTGTATCCAAGGGGAACATGTTTTCTTTAGAAAAGCTGTCAGCCGTGGAAGCCGCTGAGAGACGGCTGTGCTACACGGCCCCTCTGCGTGGCGTGTGTTGAATTGTACTTAACATAGTCATTGAGCCTGGCAAAGAGAAATGAAAACACCACTACAGGCCTCTTCAGTGTGCTCCTAAGAGAACACCACGCGTCCTTGTCAGGTGGGCCATAAGAACATGAGCACGGCCA